CAGAATAGCCACTCCCTTTCTGACCTCACAGTCTTTGTAGTGAAGGGAAATCAACAAGACAGCATCAGAAGATGGGCCAGGGAACAAAACAAAAATTCATAACATTACAGGACACAAAAAGCATGGACTAACTGCAGACAATGACTTTATGGCCATTCCAGTTTACCTGCCATCTTTTCTAAACTGTCTGTACTTCCAATCTCTCTTCTTTTTTGGAATGATTTTCTCTTTTACATATAGCCTTGTTACACATTACACTGTGAGCTGCTCAAATGTTGTTGGGTGTTTGTGTTAATTCAAGCCTGCAGCAGTCACAGGATCAGGCCAACAGCAGCCTGGAGGACTGAATGGTAAGATCAAAGCCCCCCCCCTCCCCCTGGCGCCCTTCCTATTCCAGGCTTCCCCCTGCCCCCAGGGCTCCCCCTGCCTCTTGGGGTTCCTCTTGCCACCCTCCCCTCCTTCTGGCTAACCATGCTGTCTGTCTCAGGGGAGCAGGCAGAGGAAGATTAACTAAGCAGAAGGGAAAGCAAGCCATAGGAAGTCTGGAAAGGAGTGTGCCTTCTCCTGCCCCTAATGCCAGGGAAGGTTAGTAGACCCTCTTGTTTTGAGCATGCTTACTAGTGATATGATGGTGGCTGGTTGCGTGTACCACTGAGGTCAAGGGGAGAAAAAATTTAAACTCTATTCTATCAACGAGGTGGGAGTGCGTACACCAGTTGGGGCCCAGAGGGGAGTGTTTCTGTGGGAACTCTCTGTGAACAGGGCAGGGTCTGGCAGACTGAAACAGTCTATCCTATTGAAAACACCGACTGATCATGGCTGGGTGAGCTCTGATTCTTGTTCGTAGAAGGGTAACAAAGATACCCAGTGTCCCAGGAAGGTAAGGAGGTTGAGGGGAAATTTGTATGACTTTTCTCTCAGTCATAGAGGTCCGTGTCCTTCTTTCAGCACCTGCTGGGAAGAAGAAATCAACAATCATGCTGAATCCATACAGAGGCTCCAAAGATGGATTCACTCTGCACTAAACAGATTCAGAATAAAAAAAGCACCAGGACCGGTGACGTTGGTTAGAGACTTATTTGTTACCAAGGAGCAATATAACGTATATATGTATATAATGGGATTTTTAATGGGTTTTTTTTTTCTTTTTTTTCCTGGGGAAGGTTTCCATTTGTTGTTATTTGTTATTTTATTTATGATAATAAAAGGATTAATTTGGTCTTTATTTTACTCATTTTTTCACCGAGCAAAATTTGGTGCCAAGTGTCCTACGTTAGGTGTTACTGGCTGTGTGCATGTACTGAATCCAGAAGGGTTTTTTTTAGATTTGGTACTGTATGCCATCTTTACAATTGCAAATCTCCCTCTTGACAGGAAGGCTTTTTTTTTTCTCTAAACTGAAGTCCTACTAGTCATGGGTTTTGGTTAACTATCATTTTCAAGTCCATGGTATACACTTCCCTCGTGATGCATACTGGTACAGCTATGTACATGAACAGTGTCTAGCCTAGTGTGCCTGACCAGTCTGTGCATATCCATAGACAACTGTATGAATGCCATACATCTAGAAATGGAATTCCTGCCTGGGCATAAGTGGCATTTTTTACATGTAGATAGCCAACAGTGCCTTATATAGAAGACCAAATCTGCACAGTTAAGATGGCCAACAAAGAAATAAAATGCCACCTTTAATGTCTTGGGCCTGGGAGTGCCACCCTTAATGTGCTGGACCTAAAAGATGAGCATAATCCTACTTCTAGGATTATGCTCATCAGATTTTACTCTCAGGTATAATTAGGGGTGGGGGGGAGGGAGGTTACTGCAAGGAAATTTCTCATTTATCAGGAGAGAAAGTTTCCCCATGGCAAAGCTAAGAATCTACTAAGATTTCTGCAAATTTTGACAGCCAACACAATGACAATTTCTGATGCACTTGTATGTAGGTCACTTTAGCCTGCCTTCATTAATTAGAACCTGTAACACATCTAAATTAAACAGCTAGAAATCCTCATTCCCCTTATCCTTAAAAAAAAAAAAAAAAAAAGCATATGAAATATTCCTTCTGAGAAGGACTTAGGAGAGGACTTAATGGACTATTGTACAATGCTTCGATGCCATAGAAATGGGCATGAAATAAGAATTTGAAAAGAGGGAAGAGATGTCTTTTCACTGTTTTTAGTCAGGTAAGTATATGTTAAGGTGCCTAAAAATGACATCCCATTAATCACCCTGAAAATCTAGACTCTGAAACATGACTTAGGATCATATACATTCAGGAGTGGATCTATGGAGGTGTGCTGCCATGCAGTCACACTAATTTCTGCTTTACCCAAAATTTAAAATCAACTGCCTGGCAGTAGCAGCCGCATTTCAATTCAGAAAGTAGTGAGGGGATCAATTAACTTCATGGCTCACTGTAGTCTATCTGATTTCTTCTAAACTCCTCATTCCACAGGTGTTAATGACCTTCTCTTCTTTTTTTAATAGTCTTGCTGTTCAACTAATCAAGATAACCTTTCTCTGGCAACTCTACTGTCCATTAGTGGTTCCCCTTGATTTAGCTCCTATTTCACAGCCCTGGAGACTGTTGTCAACTGTAACTAAAAACATTAACTCAGGTGTGGAAATAACTTCAATGAGGCACTGGATTCATTGCCAAGGTGCACAAGAAGGCTAGATTTTACTTTATGAATCTGAAAGAGATGTACATTTAATGCTAATGACAGCAGGACTAACAAAACAACATCTTGTGATTATTTTTTTCCTAGTTTAATGTGTTTTTATACATAACATATGCATTAGCAAATGAATGTATATGCCAATAAACTTATATTTATTTTTGCTTTGATCTTAAACTGAATAATATAACCTAGGCCCCTAATATATTAGTAAAGCTTTTAGTTTCTTTTTACTTGGAGAAAATTGTGTGCTGTGTTATATGTTGATGAGAGGAATTTTCAGCCCACTGGACAACTCTACTACCTAAGATAGTTTAGTTGCTGTTTAAGCGTGCAATGTCTTATAGTGTGCATGTGCAGTAGTCAGTTGACTCAAAGTTATTCTAGCAATAGTGAAACTCATGCTGTTTGATGATATAAGTGACCTAGCTTTGCTGTGGAGCATGCATAGTGACTAGCATCCACCTGTTGAATGCTGAGTGCAAGGTGTGGGGCTGTGTGCAATAGTATTGTGGCATGTGCACAGACATTTGATTGGACAGGACATGGTCTGAGCAAATGTTTGATACAAAGGTTGATGATGGGAATTGTTGCAGATGCCATGAGGTAAGTGAGAATATGATTGGACAGTATATGGTCTGAGCGAATGTTCAATGCAAAATTTGATGACGCACAGGCCGGAGCATGAAGTGATTGGATGAGTAAAGTGGCATGATTTGGGGGTATAAGAGCCTGAGTTGAGCTTTTGTATCAGGGAGAAGGATGGGGTTTTTGTTCCAGAGAGAGGTTCTGATCCATGAAGCGTGCTGATTTGTTCCAGATTCTGTTGCTGTCCTGGGTGGTAATGAAGTGAGCTCTTAGAGAATCAAACTCGGATATAGTTCGTCCCTAATCAAGTCCTCAGAGGTTCTCTGCATGACCTAGAGCTGTAGGAATGATAACTTGTGGTAAGGTATGACCTTGACCCTGATCTTGGGACAGAGGATTTAGCCTCTGCTCTCTGCTGGGGAAGCCTGATAGTTTGAGGGTGCATCTACATGTGTATTAACGTGCATTAAATTTAGTACCTCCAAAGTGAGTAAATTTAGTACCTCCAAAGTAATTCACATTAGGCTACCCTAATGAGCAGTACTAAAAGTGCACATTTTTTAAATGATGCTTAATGCACAGTGGCCTATTTTACTGTGCATTAGTGTAGTTGCACAGCTTTTATGTAACACTTTAATACGCAGTAAAATAGGCCACTGCACATTGAAGTGCACATGTAGATGCTCCCTGAGTGAAGTATTGACCTGAGTGGTTCAAAGTCTGACTATAAAAACATTCAGTGTATGTAAGCTCTGTAGTAGCTGACCATTTGATAAAGAAGAGACTGTTTTGCATGAGAGAGGGAGTTTGAATTTTTGAATCTGTGGGCCAGGGTTGCAAGGTAACACAGGTTATCTCTCAGTGTTCCTAGAATGAGGGAGACTGTGTGACTCTGGTATATGTTAATATAGCTCTTATTTTTTTTAACTGTTTTTTTTCCTATTTTGTGACTTACATTCTATTATATATAACAATATATTTACATTTTGTTTAATATATTCCTGTGCCTGTGTTTATTTTGTGCTCCTGCACAAGTTCTCAAATAAAGCCTGGCAGGTATCCAGCCTAAGCTTTTAACTTTTAGGTTGCCTGGCTAAGCCTTAAGGCTCTTGACCACTCATTTCACCTTAGTATTTTAATTAGTTGCCTTCCCACACCAATATAAATTCATCTCTGAGCTCTAGTAAAAATGTTGATGGTTAACATATGTGATGATGCACCATACCATCTGTACCCTGCACCCCTTTTCAAAACCCTAAACCCACCCATGTATACATTATTATTATCCTGACTAAAAGTCTTCTGAATCTGAGAAGGGGAGCTAGATCATGATTAACTTGCTGTGATTCAATCACCATCTCTCTCCCATACCTTCCTAAGGAAGCCTCCCTATACATATGAGGAGAGAAGCATAGTTTCTTGAAGAGTATGTAAAAAATCTTTTATTAAGGAAATATATAAATTCACAAGGCAGGAATTTTAGAAATAAAAAGCAGGATAGTCCAAATACTATGACTGTGGGAAACTACTGTGAAAACTAGAGAACATTTATTAATAAAACTCTGATAAAAAAGCCTGGTCTGAGGCAGGGATTGTACCTGATACCACCGTGGCCCAATGAATTGTGTCAGATACCACCATGGTTCAGGGAGAATTTTCAGAGAGACAAAAAGAGAGAACCTAATTCTATAAATTGCAGTCTTTGGTGGCTATTTGCTTTGAGCTCAACCGTTCCTATAGTGATGTTGCAGTGATGTTGTCTTCAACATCGTCATATCCTACATCTCCAGGAGGCAGGGATGAGTCATTTTTCTCAGCACCAGAGGCTCCTTCACTTTTTAGCGAGAGCAGACTCCAACCTGAAAATATTAAAGGAGGTATATGACAGTGAAAGCACCCACTGAGCACCCACATGCATTCATGTGATACATAAAGCCCCTTTATTATGAGGTCCTGTAACCAGGAGGCCAAAGTGATTTGAAAATTGTTTCCATAGGTCCAAAGCAAACGAGGCAGGAAATAAAACCAATTATGTTTTAAATACAGTTTCCCCTTCATGTGCTCATTAACATCTCCTGGCAACCTTAGTTTATTTTCTTTTGCTCAGTACCTCCATTTTTGGATGGAAGAAATCAGACTGCTCTGCTGCAGTTAATGGTTCTTTCTGTGTTCACTGTCTACCGCTCAGGTCTCACTGGGTGCATCTACACAATGACCTACAGTGATGTAGCGACGCATTACATTGCCATCCAGCACAGTATGGTGATGTAGTGGTCACATGGGTCTACACATGATCACCAGCTACATCGCTATTGCAGGACACTCCCTGGCTATAGTGAGCCACTACGGTGATGTAGCTGCCAGCCAGTGAATCTAACCATGCGCTTCCCCCAAGCAAGTATTAAAACACAGCGCAATACTAATGTCACCATACAGCAACATGTAAACACACTCACTGATCCTCTTTTGGCAGGTCTGGCAATTCACTCACCCCATCTCTTGTCTGAGCCCAGGGTCCTTTAATGCTTCTTTGTGCTTCTGTAATCCTAGACTTAGCCTTCAGAAGAGGTAAACCAATTTTGCTTGGATGCAGTTGAGCATGTAGCTTTGTTTTACCTGATGGCCCCAACAAAGTTTTACTAACACTTTGGAGCCATTCCCCTACACTGTGTGTTTGCCAGGATAGCCTTTCATGAAGAGGCGCTCCTCACTGTTTCCTTCATTAAACTTCACACAGTTAAGAAGGATAGCATCTCACAGATAAACTAATCTACACCCCACCCCCCTCCCCCAAATACATCTCACTGGCATTGTCCACAAAGAAAGCTTCTGTGATGAGATCTAAATCAATATAAAGTGTGGGGATTATAGTGAGGTCTTTACCACTTCCTGGTTGTCAGGAGCTCATCTAACTGTTCTCAGTGTGCCTAGCCCAGGAGTGGGCAAAATATGACCCATGAGCTGGATTCAGCCCACTAGGCATTTCCTTCCGGCCTGAGGAGCCTCTCTGTAAGCCAAAAGAAGGATCATGGGCCCAAACTCTTGCTGCCCCTCTGAAAGCCAGCCCCTACATGCAGGAAGTGTGGCTCCAGTTGCTAAGAAACCAACCCCAGCCCAACCTGCTCTGACTCCACCCCAGCCTCAAGGTAGTGGGCACTAGAGAGAAGAAGCCTCTGCCTGACAGAGGCTTTTTCCTGGTGATGCTGTGGCTGTTTTCCAGCCCTTCATCCCTTCAAGAGTGAGAATTCAGGTAAGGGCTGTACTGGGTCAGGGGCCAGGAACTCGAGGGAAAGGGGGAAGGAGTGCAGGGATCTACATGCTATGGGGCTGGGCCGGGCTGGCCCTGAATGCTTCAGAAACGCATGAGCTGCATGCTATGGGGCCGGGTGGGGCTGACCCCTCACCCTGCTTCCATGTGTGGTCAGAGACTCAGGCAGGAACAGCAGGCTGGTCCCATTTGCTGCCTCCATGTGTGGCAGGGGACTTGAGCAGGAAT